CCCCCTCAGTGGTCAAGGTTCTGGGGTTGCCTAATCCCATGGAAACATTGCCATCTTCTTTCCATTAACCCTTTGTGGCCCCTCAGTCCTGTGAAAGCCACCAGCAGTAGAGGGAGAGAAGAGAGCTGAGTCTCCAGGCTTGGCAGAGCCCTGGTGCGGGGCAGAGCCTCGGAGCTGGGGACCTGGGTCTTTAGAGGTGAGGCCTCTCTGAAGGCCCTGCCGTGCTCTGCACATTTTGTCTCACAGAGAAGCCCCGGCCAATATTTATCCCAGGTAAACATATGTTTCCTCCCTTATAAAAAACTATTATTATGCCAGGCGCCAGTGGCTCGTGCCTGAAATCCTAGCTCCTAGGAAGCTGCGGTCTGAGGATTGTAGTTCAAAGCCAGCCCAGGCAGTCCATGAAACTCTTATCTCCATTAAACCACTCAAAAACTAGAAGTGGTGGGGCTGGGAAGGTGGCTCAGTGGTAGAGCGCTTGCCTTGCATGCCTGAGGCCCTGGGTTCGATTCCCCAGCACCACATAAGCAAAAAGAAAAAAAAGCCGTGGCGCTGTGGCTCAAGTGGTAGAGCACTAACCTTGAGCTGAAGAGCTGAGGGACAGCACCCAGGCCCAGAGTTCAGGCCCCACGACTGGACCCAAAAAACCCCCAAAAACTAGAAATGGTGCTGTGGCTCAAAGTCGTAGAGTGCTAGCCTTGAGCAAAAGAGCTCATGAACAAAAGAGCTCATGGACAGCACCCAGGTCCTGATTTCAAGTCCCACAACTGACAAACAACAACAACTTTCTTATAAAGGTGACATAGAGAGGGGTCGCACTTAGATAAGTCAGGAAAGGATTTGGACATTGTCACTCTTTCCCTCACTCCCAGTTTTCCCTTCTTATCCGCATCCACATGTTTTGTTATTGTTGTTGTTGTTTTGCCAGTCCTGGAGCTTAAACTCAGGACCTAGGCACTGTCCCTGATCTTCTTTTGCTCAAGGCTAGGGCTCTACCACTAGAGCCACAGCACCACTTCTGGCTTTTTCTGTTTACATGGTGCTGAGGAATTGAACCCAGGGCTTCATGCATGCTAGGCAAGCATTCTACCACTGAGCCACCTTCCCAGCCCTCTTACCCACTGTGTTACAGTTTGTTTTCAACATAGTTTCTAGTACCACCGCTGCATTTGCTCACCCTTTCAGGCCCTGATTTTTATTAATTCCCTCTGAAACAACAGAGCCACCCACATGGACAAATGCCTCATGTATTATTCTTGGAAAGCATAAATGGTTGGAAGTCAAACAAGAGACCCCCAAGTTCCAATTGCACCCAAAGACTGGAGAATCAACATGCGTTTGGGAAAGACAGCTGTCACCGAGAGTTCACCCTGACATGGCAGTCAACAGCCAAAGGATAAAAAGCAAATCTTACTGAAGTTTCCTATCCGTTGGTATAGCAACCCAGAGGCCGCTTCCTAGCGTGGACCGGATAATCGTGCAGTCCAATTCTTGTCTATTGCCACCTGGGGTGGGTTTTTCCCGGCTACCATCTGACTCATGGGCCTGACGTGGATGAGGCAAAGCGGCTGTGTGAATTAACAATGATGTCGCCAAACGCTCTGCCAGTGACTCTACTTTTATCTTCTGTTTTTTAGGCCAAGGAGGCTCCCTGGATGACTATGTGAGCACTCAGGGGGCTTCATTGTTCAGCATCACCAAGAGGCACGCGGGGGCCAGCAGCGTAGCCGAGTGTGCGAGCCGCTGCGAGGAGGAGACAGCCTTCATCTGCAGGTACTCACTGCGCACGCTGCTGTCCCAATACCCTGCGGCCCAGGCTCCCACAATGCCGTTCTAATCCCCACAGCCTGTCCACACACAATGCTATTCTTTTATTTTGCCAGTCCTGGGACTTGAACTCAGGGCCTGGGCACTGACTGTCCCTGAGCTCCTTTTGCTCAAGGCTAGCACTCTACCACGTGACCCACAGGGCCAACTCCAGCTTTTTCTGTGTATGTGGAACTGGGGAATGGAACCCAGGTCTTCATGCATGCTAGGTGAGCACTCTACCATTGAGCCGCCTGCCCAGCCCCACCCTGCTGTGCTAATGGCAAGAAATTTTCTCACAGACTCATTAACAGAAATAAGCTGGGCGCCCGTGGCTTACACCTCTAATCCTAGCTACTCAAGAGACTGAGATCTGAGAATCACAGTTCAAAATCAGCCTAGGCAGGAAAGTCGGTGAGACACTGATCTCCAATTAGCCACCCCCAGAGCCCAAAGTGGGGCTGTGGTCCAAGCAGCCGAGTAGCAGCCTTGAATGAAGAAGCTCAGGGACAGTGCCCAGGCCCCTGGGTAGAAAGGCAAAGGGGGAACTGATGGGGCTGGAGTTTGAAACTCTTTGCTCACAATCTCTGAAGCCCTTTTTCTTAAAGTTTATTAGTGTTACCTTTAGCAAAATGCTGTGAAAAGATGTCATTTATGTTTATACATGACAGAAACATTAACATGAGCTCCAGGTTTGTAAATTTTTGATGCCCTTACTGGGGCTTGAACTCAAGATGCCATATTCTGGCTTAGCTTTTTCACTCAAGGCTGGTGATCTATTACTTGAGTTCCAGCTCCACTTCTGGCTTTTTTTTCTGAGTAATTGGATATCAAAGTTTTTCAGATTTGTCTGTCTGGGGCTGGCTTTGAACCAGATCTCAGCCTCCTGAGTAGCTAGGATTACAGGCATAAGCCAATGGTGCCTGCAACTCTACTTTTTAACATCATCATCCCAAATACTTACAGGAACTCATGTAAATAAAAGTGTCATGCACAAAGCCAAAGAAAACATATTTGAGTTTTAAGCCCTTTTTGATTTAAAGTGTGGCTAAAGAAAGCAGAAATAATGACATTTGTTGAGGTAGCCAATGTGGGCATTGCTAAGGGCATAAGTGACGCATGCTTTGTAGAGGTTCAGAGGATAGAAACACTGCTAAGCCTTGAGTAGGAGGATACTGAGAAAACACAAGAGAGGGCAGGTAGGCATTCAAGGCAGGGAGAGACAGTCCTGTACCCCTGACAGGAGCCATGGAAAGACCAAGCTCATGAGCCCAAAGACTTTATGCAGGTGGAGGATTTGCAAACGTAGAAGGCGTGGTCTTGAATACTTGGCTAAGCAGGAAGGACCGTGTAGCAGGACCACACAGGAGGGGGAGTGGTTTTTCATTTGTTTTTGGTTGCTGTAACAGAATACCCAAGCCTGGGTAATTTACAAAGGAAAGAAGTTTATTAAGTGTGTGGTTCTGGAGGCTGGAAGTTCAAGCCCAAGCAACTGCTCACAACAAAGGCTACTACAGCAGGGCAGAAAAGGGGAAGGGGAAGCGAGTGTGCGAGAGAACGGGAGGCAGTCCAGCCTCTGAGCAGGCTGGAAGGAATCTGAGCTTAAATAAGCAGAGTGAAATAGAGCAAGATCTAACCATCCTTCCTAATGCCCTCTTCACGTCTTAAAGGGCCCACACCTCAGCAGTGCTATGCTGGGGACAAGGCCTCCTCATGAGTTTTGGCGCAGATCGATGGGGTAGGAAGCGCAGCAGAGTTGCAAGGGGAGGGGTAGAATGTAGAGTCCAAAAGGAGACGGGCAAGTTGGGAGTGTGAAGGTCAAATAGGCAGACCATCTCAATCACAAAATAAATAGCCAGCACTAAGGAAAATGAATGAAGCAGGGTGCTGGAGGCTCATGCCTGTGATCCTCGCTACTCAGGAGACTGAGACCTGGAGGGCAGCTGAACAGAAAAGCCCACAAGACTCTATCTCTAATTAAGCAGCAAAAAGCCAGGCTGGGGACATGGCTGGAGTGGTAGAGCACCAACTGTGAGCAAGAAAGGCACATGAGCACAGTATTTGCACAAATATGAAATGAGTGAAGAAAGAAGACAGTAATTAAAACAGAAATAGAGGAAATTTGGCGAGAGAGAGAGAGCGAGAGAGAGTGTGTGTAAGGGTTTGAGAAAAAAGAACAAGAGTGACTGTGGTGTTGAAAAATTCACGATCAGACCACTCCCCATCAACACTGTGACAATGGTTCTGGGCTCACAGAGACACCCAGAGATCTAATTACCTTTCAAGCAACTTCTTCCTCCCCAAGGTTTGATTTCTATCCGGGAGAGGCTTCATGGTGTCTTCTGACCCTTCTGCAGGTCATTCCAATACCACAGCAAAGAGCAGCAATGCGTGATCATGGCTGAGAACAGCAAGTCTTCTGGGATCATCAGGATGAGGGATGTTGTTCTGTTTGAAAAGAGAGGTCAGTGGGAATCCTGTCCCTTCCCTTTCCCCTCCCCTTCCTCCTAATTGATGGGCTCAGCCAATGAGGCCCTAGAAGTAGAGACATTGAATTCTGGGTAAGGACAGGTTTTGCCACCTAATCAGCTATGTGAGAGTGAGTCTGTCACTTCAGATCTTTGATTTCCTTTCTCTGCCTCTGTGACCCTGAAAGTGAGATTCTCAAAACTTGACTCCGAGAGAGAGAGAGAGAGAGAGAGAGAGAGAGAGAGAGAGAGAGAGAGACAGACAGACAGACAGACAGACAGATAGACAGACAGAGACACAGAGAGAGACAGAGACAGAGATAGAGAGAGACAGAGACAGAGACAGACAGAGACAGACAGACAGACAGACAGAGAGAAAGAGACAGACAGAGACAGAGACAGACAGAGACAGAGACAGAGAGACAGAGAGAACACATGCGTGCCAGTCCTGACACTGAAGCCTAGGCACTGTCCTTAAGCTAGCACACTCTTACCACTTGAGCCACAGCTCCACTTCTGGCTTTTTGGTTTTTAATTGGAGATAAGAGTCTTGCAGACTTTCCTGCCTAGGCTGGCTTTGAACCAAGATCCTCAGATCTCAGCCTGCTGAGTAGCTAGAATTACTGACACAAACTACCAGCACATGGCTTGCAATATTGTGTTTGGAAATGTGCAAAAAGAAAAGTTCATTTTCCATAGTCTCCTTTAAAATGCAGACCAAGACTCTTTTTGTTCAGTCCCACTGGTCTGAATTCCAGTGGGATTCGCACTGCATTTTTAGAAACTCCAAAGTGTCATTAAATGGACATAAGATCCAGATGAATGGATTGCATTTAAAAAACACTCTTACATTCTAATGCTGGCCAGGAGATGGATAATTGCAGGAATACAGCTCCGCAAGTCCACTGTATGTCACAGGGGCAGAAGAAGAAATTTGCTTTTCTCGACAGTGTGTGGCAATGTTTCTAATCTTACTGCAAAATTCTACATATGATGTTAGGATTATTTCCTCTCATCTTCCAGAGTTCAGTGAGCTGTACTCTTCTTGGGACTCTTTCCTTGCCTCTGTCTCTAATTTTATTAAAATGTTTCCTATTATCATGTATTAGGGTACAGGAGGAATTCATTGCTTCATATCTACCTATGCTTACAATGTGTTTATTCGACTCACCTTCATCTTTAACTGTTGTGATGAAAGAGCAGATGAACTCTAAACAGAATCCATTTCTGTGGTTACTTCTCACACATTGTAAAGAATGAGCTCAATCTGTTCCCCAGATTTTTGGTTAAAAGGAGAGGGGGATAGGGTCAGTGGGATGTTCTCCAGAAACGTTAACATTGAAATATGTCACTTGTAAATGGTTAACCAGCAGCAGCACAGGGGAGCAGCTGGGCTTGGTTTGAAATCTGAAGTTTGGAGGCTTGAACTGCTTGTTTTCCAGGGAGCAAAAGGTTATATAAACTCCGGTAGGTACATACAAACAAGAGCGAGGCGAAAAGTCAAAAGTCAGTCAGTGTCTAGTCCTTGCTTCTTTGCTAGGGAATATGGGCTCGTTGGGGCTAACCTGGAAAGCAGGGGATTCTGGGGGCCGTCAGTGTCATCATGTCCCTGTGACCCCACCCCCCACCCCCAGAGCCAAACCCCCATCAGGTGCTGAGCTTTTGTAGTCATGGCCCTTGGCTAGGCTGGCTGCAGTGGCTCACACCTGTAATTCCAGCTACTAGAGAGATAGAGTTCAGAAGGATCACGTTCAAGACCAGCCTGAGCAAAACGTAGGCCCCTCACGTCCATGAACAAGTCAGGGGTGGCGATTCACGTCTATCAGACATGGTCGCTTGTTGCGTTTCTGAGCACCGTGCGGGCTTCTTTCAGTGTACCTTGCGGAGTGCAGGACCGGCAATGGGAGGAGCTACCGGGGGAACACGGCCAAGACCAAGGGTGGCGTTGCCTGTCAGAAATGGAGCGCCACATCCCCACACAGACCCAAGTAAGACTCTCTTCTCCATATTCCAAATGATCCCGTTACATCGGAATCAAAGCAGAATGGGTGCGCAGCGGGCAGAGAGGGCATTCCGACGTGGAAGTAAATTAGTTCAGCTCCTTACAGGACAGAAGCAGAGAGCAGTTGCTTTCTGTGTATGCTGTTCAAAGAATTTTCTAGAATTACCACATAGAAGAAGGCCTACTGAAAAGAAGCAGTAAATTTATAAGTTCAAGGCCACACGGAGAAGGGACCACAGGCAATGGGGCTTAGGGTGGGGCCTGTCTCAACCAAGCAGGTGTAGATCACGAGATCTAGCCCCGTGAGAACATACTATATGCTGGGAGGAAGGAACGCATGAAATACAGCTCGCTGCTATCTTCGTGTCTTTCTGTCCCTGGTTTGGTGACAGATAACATTTTACATTTTCTGTCACGAAGCTTCTCAAACAAATTGCATTTGTTGCTTCCCCGAGAGAGGGGCAGATGTAATATTTCCTGTTAGCTGAGGTAAAATGCTGAGCTAACTATGGGAATCCAGAATGTCAGGCATTCACAATGCTCTCTGAGGAGCTGAGTCCCAAGCTGGTGAGGTTTCTCCCAGGAGAGGCAGACAGGAGCACCCCACCTTTCTAGACCCCAAGTTTTTGTGCCCTTTAATTAATTAATTAATTATTTTTGTGCTGAGGCTCGAATTCAGGGCTTCAGGTTCTCCCTTGCTCTTTGCACTCCAAGGCGGGTGCTCTAATACTGGAGCCACAGCTCTACTTCCTTTTTTTTTTTTTTTGCTAGTTAATTGAAGCTAAGAGTCTCATGGACTTTTCTGCACAGGCTGGCCTTGGATGGTAATCCTCAGATCAGGTCTCAGCCTCCTGAGTAGCTGGGATGACAGGCGTGAGCTGCCTGCACCTGATCTAAACTGCTCTGATTCTTACTGGGAGAGATGAAATGGGGCATTCGAGGCCCATATCTCTCCTGTCTGCTCCCCCCCCCGCCCCCAGCCCTGTCCCACAAGCAATAAGGATGGTAAGGACGCAGTAAGGGTGGTAAGGACACAGTGTGGCAGGTGTCAGTCGTGAAGGGAAGGCTCTCACAACCCAGTGTCGTGCACTGGGAGGCCAGGCCTCGCGCTCCAGCGAGGAGACAGCGCCTCCTGCAGGCTTGCGGGCAGCACGCTGGCCTCCAGAGGGCCAAGCACTCTTCTCTGTGTCCCACAGCTACACACCGGAGAAATTCCCGGCCGAGGGCCTGGAGGAGAACTACTGCAGAAACCCAGACAACGATGAGCTGGGGCCCTGGTGCTACACCATGGACCCGGAGAAGAGATTCGACTACTGTGACATTCCCGAGTGCGAAGGTCAGAAAAACCCTTGCCCACCCGCCCTTCACCTGCAGCGATCTACCTTGAATTTTTTTTTTAATGATGATGTTTATTTCTATTTTGTGATGTCCGGGACAGACACCAGGGCTCTGTTCCACTGGACAAGGCCTCCCCGCTGGCTTCCACCCCGCCCGCTGCCCCGCCATTGAGCATGAACACATGTTCCAGCAGTTCTCTGTGGGCCACATGCAGTCTTTTTTTGTGCTAGTACTGGGGCCTGAACCCAAGGCCTTGTGCTCTCACTTGGCTTTTTTGCTCGAGTCTGGTGCAAAAGGCTGAGCCATAGTTCCACTTCCAGTGGTCTCTAAGGTAATATCCCCAGGGATATCATTAAAAATGGATTAATATTTTATATTTCAAAGTGGAGTGCTGTATTCACATCTTGGGAAAGAAGAAAAATTCACTCTGGTTTCTAGTGTTGGCCTGAATTATTATTATTTTTTATTGTGAAAATACCGTAGAGAGGGGTTACAGTTACATGAGCAAGGTAATGAATCCATTTCTTATCCAGCATTGTTGCCTCCTCCTTTGTTTCCCCTTCCCATCCCTTCCCATCTCCCTCCCGCCCCATGCCCCCTGAATTATTTTTATTAAAATGATACCCAACATGTATAACTATAAAATTAGGCCTAAACTTCTTAGACTCATGCAGTGCAAAACTCCAAATGTATTTGTAATTAAGAAGCTTATTAGACCATGAAAATTCAAGCAAATAATATTAAATTAATATTATGGTTTTATGGTTTAAATCTAGGCAATGAACCAGTGTTTATATTAGTCATCTTATGTATCTATTTAAAAATAGTCCTGGGGTTTAAACCCAGGTCTACACACTTGGTTGAGTGGTACCTTACTACTTGAGCCAGGTCCCCAGCTCTTTTTGCTTTCATTATTTTTTTGCATTTGGGATCTTGAATTTTCCCTAGCCTTTGATCCTCCTGTTTATGTTTCCCAAGTGCCTGGGATGGCAGGCGACCCAGCACGTCTAGATGAGACCTCCAGCACTTTGTGTCTACCAACTGGTCTCAAACCAAGATCCTCCTAGTCTCTGCTTCTCATGTAGCTGGGATCACGGTGTGAGCCTCTACACTCTGCCAGCAATCTTTATTTTAATGGCTTTATCAATTTAAGGGTACACTTCAAAGGTCAATGCTAAAAATTGGGGAAAATGTCTTCATTTCCTATTTCCATCCATTTATTAGACTAAAGAGAGTTGATGCAGGTGGGATTTGTGTGACAATGTGGATGTTGTAGCAGATGACAACTCGCATCTCCTTTATTTATTTGGATAATGGAGATGCTTTATTTTGAACAGTGCTGTAGGTTATTTGGCCATGAGAATGATGTAATCCAGCTACGGAGGAGGTGGAGGTCAAGAGGACTGTAGTTTGAGGCTAGCCTGGGCAAAAAGTTAGCAAGACCCATCTCAATCAATAAGCTAGGTAGGGTACTGCATACCTATCATCCCAGTTACCTAGGAGGCATAGGAATGAGGATCATGATTTGAGGCTGGCCTAGAAAATAATTTGAAAACACCAAATGGACTAGGGGCATAGCTCAATTAGCAGAGTAGCTGCCCAGCAAGTACAGAGTCCTGAGTTCAGACCCTAGCACCGCCTGAAAGAGAAAAAAGAAACACCGTGAGTGCATGGCTTTTGTGTCAGGTCTGCAGCGGTTACCCTTATTACTCTAGAAAAAAAAGATAGCTGCTCGTCACGCTGCCTCACTCTGCGATCACTAACTCCAGATGGAAGCGCTGAGGTTTAAGTAAATTAGAAGGAAAGAAAAGGAGCAGCCCTGCTGCTCGACTCCATGGAAAGAGAAGCCTGCGGTCACGAAGACTCCGGCCGGAGGATCTGGGGCAGGGGGTGCGGGCAGGGGGGCGCTGCCTGGGTCATGCACCAAGGATTGATCAGAGTACTTTCAGAGAGATTTAAAGATGAGTACTGAAGAGAAGAAGCCCAGCTCTTAAAAACTGGAACCCTCCTGAGAATACGAACAACGCCTGTGTCTGCCAGCCTAATTCGTCATGGCTGTCAGCATGACGCACACATGCCATTTGAAAAGGGAGGGAACGAATTGGATTGTAGGAGAGCATTCTGAGTTTCCAATCGTTCTTGGAAATGGCGTACGGCAAGTGGAACGCAGGACTTGAGACATCTCTAGTGGGATTCTAGTTCCTGCTCTCTTTCTTCTCCTCCTTCTCCTTTTTTTGCTGCTCGTGAGGTGTAGGCACTGTTCCTGAGTTCTTGTGCTCAAGGCGAATTCCCTACGACTTGAGCCAGAGCTCCACTTTCAGCTTCCTGTGGTTAATTGAAGAATCCCACAGAATTTCTGCCTGGGCTGGCTACGAACCAACCACAACCCTCAGATTACAGTTTCCTGAGGAGCTAGGATGACAGGTGTGAAGCCCCCCGGTGCCCGGCTCCTGTCCAGTTTTGTATCCATCTTTCCGTTTCTCTCTTCCTCTCCTCCCGTCCTCCTCGCACTCCGCAGAGGAATGCATGCACTGCAGTGGAGAGAACTACGAAGGCAAAATCTCCAAGACGGAGTCTGGACGTGAATGTCAGGCCTGGGGCTCTCAGAGCCCCCACACCCACGGCTACCTTCCTTCCAAGTAAGTCTCGGGCCCATGGCCTCCGCCGTCACTGTTTGGCAGGGCCTCAGGAGGTGAATGGGACCGGCGTGGGGTGTGGAAGCTGGCATTTCCTACCAGGCTGTACATGAAGGCTATGCGGCGGCGACTCCGCATGGTCTAGGGGCCACACCCTGGGATTCTGCATGCACGTAGCACTCAGCGGGCACCAGCCCTCCACAGGCACTTAAATGCGTGCTCATCATCAAAGTTGTCGATTCACGAAGACAAGTGTTCAGAGCTGTTAAAATCCTTCCTGTCCATCCTGTGTGCAGATTTCCAAACAAGAACTTGAAGAATAATTACTGCCGGAACCCCGATGGGGAGCCTCGCCCGTGGTGCTTCACCACCGACCCCACCAAGCGCTGGGAGCTCTGCGACATCCCCCGGTGCGGTGAGTGTGGCCTCCCGGTGCGCGTGGGCTCCTGAGACGCAGACTACACGCGACCCAGGGGTTTGTGGGATAGTTATGCTTTTTTTCCTTTTTGTCAGTCATGGGGCTTGAACTCTGGGCCTGGGTGCTGTCCCTCAGCTCTTCAGCTCAACCACTTGAGCCACAGCGCCACTTTCAGTTTTCTGGTGGTTAATGGGGAGATAAGAATCTCACAGACTTTCCTGCCTGGGCTGGCTTCGAACTGCGGTCCTCAGATCTTAGTCTCCTGAGTCGCTAGGATGACAGGTGTGAGCCACCAGCACCTGGTTAATGCTTTTGATTTTACTGTCCTTTTAAAATAGTTTACTGGCTATGCTGGGTACCCATAAGAACATCTATTTCTAGTTCAGATCATTCTATTTTTTTCTCCCTATCCCATCTCAGGTTCTGGGATGACAGCTCTGCTATTCTGCTCTTTCCTGGGCTCAAGGATGACTTCACACACATGCTGTCAGACTGTGTTACTAGGCTTTGTCTTTAAGAAGTTGTCTGTGGGCATGTAGTTTTTTCGGTACCCAATTTGGGGAGCTGTAGGGGAAACAGAGTTCAGGAGTTCAGATGAAGTGGAAGGCCTGGTTGAAAGCAAAGTGGAGGAGACAATTTAATACTAGGTTCCTTCTCTGAGAATTTGAACTGGGAGCCTGGGAGGGCAGCTGGATAGCCATGAAGAGTGAAGAGGACCTGTGGAGGCCTGCTTCCCTCATCTGCTCTGGTGTGAACCCTCATGACCCATGGGTTTTGACCATCACTTTATAAACACCAGCTTCTCCTTTCTTCTCTCTTTTTTTGCTTTTCTCCTCAAGAATGACTTGACTTTTGGCCATACCCTCTTCTCTTGGCCTTTTCTGCTGGACTCTTTCTCAGTTGGTAGCTCCATGGGGTACAGGACACCACGCAGCTATGTCTTCTGGGTGACTGATATATTCTTCCTAATGAAGCCTGTCTAAGGTGTTGAGGTGGGACACACAGGGGGCCCTCCCATTCATGACGAGCTGATCACAGAAAGAATCAGCAGCTGCCCCAAGAACCTATTTCTGGAGAAGTTCCTGGTGACATGGTCTCACAGATATAGAGTCTACCCGATTGTCTTCTTGTGAAAATACTACACTATTTTTGCTCTTATTGGTGTTGGTTGTGGAGCACCAATTGGTGCATCATTCTTGATTTGAAAAATAATCATTGTCATCTGTTTATTTTTTTCCCTATTCAAGCAACCCCCCCGCCTTCTCGTCCAACCTACCAGTGTCTGGAGGGGAGAGGCGAAAGCTACCGGGGCACAGTGTCGGTCACGAAGTCTGGGCACACGTGCCAGCGCTGGAGTGAACAGTCGCCTCACGAACACAACAGGACCCCAGAGAACTTCCCCTGCAAGTGCGTCTCCCCGTCCCCGCCCTGTCCCCTCTGTGGACTGGCGATTCCTGCAGATTTGCTTGGGCTGCTGTAGGAAGGAACCCAGGATGGAAGGACACTGGGGAGAACAATGATTAAGCTCTATACAAGAGAGGGGGAGTATAGTAACGTTGCTTTTTCCAGAGTGGCATGTCCTACCGGTGGCACATTCTGGGGCCTTACTCCCAAACTACCACCCCCTTGGAATGGTTAGTGAGTCAAGGGTGCACCGTGTCACCATTCCCTGGGCTCCTGAGCTCTGCTCGGCTTTCCTCCCAGCCCACCCTTCAGGTAGTGTGAGGGTGGAGCACCCAGCAGTAGATACGCACCCAGCATGGCCGCCGCCACCCTCACCTGATTGCTCTCGTCTGCTTGAAGGGCTCCACTTGTTTTGCAGAGGTCTGGATGAAAACTACTGCCGGAATCCTGACGGAGAATCGTTCCCCTGGTGCTACACGACCAACAAGACGGTGAGGTGGGAGCACTGTGCGATCCCCACCTGCGAGTCCTTGCCCACCACCTCGGACCACCTGGACACGTCGGGTGAGAGTGGGGGCTGAGAGCTCCCGGGGGCCCAGATGGGCGCTTCCCCAGGGAACGAGCGGTGCCTGGAGAGCACGTGCTGTACGATCCCAGCGAGAGAGTGTTAAATGGCCTGGGTTGTTTTCTGGCTCAGAGTTTGGCCATCTTGGTGAGCGGAGCAGGTGCTCTGGAGTACAGCTCCCAGGGCTGCTGATCGCACGTTCTCTGAGTCAAACTGGTTGTCAGGGCGCCGCTGGATGTCTCCTGCTGGCCTGTCTCCTATCTGATTCCTTCCTGAGGGGCGAATGAGGGCACTCCCAGGCCTTAACTACACATCAGTCGCTGCTCCTTTTTGGTTCCTGCTCTGTGTGGGAGCATTCTGTTTTTGCTTGGCTCTTCATGGCCCTCCGCCTAGAAACAAGAAGCAAAGACCACTGTTTGCTATTTCCTAGGGGTGACTGGCCGGATGGCTGCCGTCCCTTGCTTCGCGGGCCTCTCCCTTCAGCCCTTCCTCACCTGATCTCTTCTGTTTCACTCTCAGCACCGCCTGAGCAAACCCCTGTCGTCCAGGAATGTTACGAGGGCAACGGGCAGAGCTACCGAGGCACGTCGTCCACCACGATCACGGGCAAGAAGTGTCAGTCGTGGTGGTCCATGAGTCCACACCGGCACGAGAAGACCCCGTTGAACTTCCCAAACGCGTATGTCCTGATTTTAGTCAATAGAAGGGCAGGAGCCAGCGGAAATGACTGGTACTGAGATTTGTGTAGCATCTTAGAACCAACCTTTCTGAGATCTAGCATGCGAGTCAAGTTTTCTCGGGAGCCTTCTGTTTGTGCAAAGGGTCTGAGAGGGTCCTTCCCAAGTGGTTTTGTGGAAGTGGGGGCGGGGACAGTACATGGATGTGCTGACTTCATACTAATGAACAGCTCAGAAGAACAAACGGTCCAAGGCTGAGGCACAGCACCCTTCCCCACGAGGGAAGCAATGCGCCCTTTGTCTCTGGACTCCTATCACTCCAGCCTCAGGGCACTCAAGGGCACTGTGCACTTGCCCTGAGTCTTAGGACATGAATCAATATTTCTGGCTGAATCTTCCCCTTCCTGGGCTCACTGGGTCCTAAAGGGCAAACTTTGCCCAGAGAGTAACAGTACTGATATCATGTTAAAGATGAAAGTGGTGAAAATGGTGTACAGAAAACCATGAATCAAAAGAGGGAGTGGCCATTCTGGTATCAAGTAGATTTTAGGATGAGAAATAGCACCAAGGACATTTCATAAGGACAAAGGATTCATGCACAGAGACCTAACAATGCTAGTGTTGTGTCCTAAAAAACAGAGCCTCAGATAGAGGGAGCAAGAACTAAGGATTAATATGGATGAAGCCTATGAATCTAGCCAAGCATTTTCTCATTTTTTCCTATGGTATATTTATTAATTTTCCCCAAACAAAACATAAAAGAACAATTAAATAAAAAGATTAGAGAGGACACAGACATTTAAAAGTAAAATGTCAATTTTACTGCCGTGAATGAGGCGGCCATCTAAGTGACATGCTTAGGGCCCCAAAAAAGTCTTTGTTGCTAGGCACCACAGGCTTACCATTGTAATCCTTGCTACTCTGGAAGCTGAGACCTGGAAGATGGTAGTTCAAGGCCAGCCTAGGCAGAAAAGTCCTCAGGATTCCATCTGCAAAATAATCAGCAAAAGGTAGAGTTGGAAACATGGCTTAAGTGGTAGAGCATAGCACAGCAAGCAAGCCATGTGAGTTCAAGGTCCTGATTTCCAACCTAATATGGCAAAAAAGTCTCTATAAATGCAGAAGGATTAAAATAACACAGTATGTTCCTATCACTCTTGAATTAAATGACTTTGTTCATTTAAGTAAAAAATTTAGAAAAATCCCCCAAATCTTTGGAAGTTGAGACATATCTAAATAATCTATGCATCAAAGAAGAAATCACAAAGGAGTTTTAAAATGTTTTGAGCAGAATAATAAGAAGCAGAGCATATCGAAATTGGGTTGCTGCTGAAGACGTAAAGGGTTCTACAAATTTACCATCAATAATTTAAGATAGCAGTTCTCAGAACATGGTCTGGAAAGCTGAAGATTCCCAAGATCTCTCCAGGGAGTCTATTAGGTTAAAACATTTTCAATTTTTAAGAAAAGAAAAATTGCTCCCCATCCACAGATTTGACAAATGGCCTCTCTCCAGAACATATATGTACTCTTCTCTTACTCACTATAATAAAGCTGACAACCAAATAAAAAAATGGACAAGAAATACGAATAGATATTTCCTAGGGCAACATGTACAAATGGCCAATAAACACCTGAAAAAGTACTCAACATCTTTGCCATCAAAGAAAGAACAATTGTAACTCTAACAATGGCCAGCAGACAGCCCAGGGACGTGGCTACCACTGAAAATGCAGGTAGCTTCAAGGAGCGTCAGAGTGCAGAGAAAGGCCTACTTGTGAGCTGGCACCACCACTTCTGAAACCACTCCACTGGCTTCTTAGAACATTGCCAATCTGCAATTCTGTCCTTGAAGATTTAACCGACACAGATGAGTGCGGAGGTCATCAGAGACATCTGCACCAACAGTCAGAGCAGCTGTGCCTGATGCCCCCAAATGATCAACAGCTAGGAAATCTAGCAATGGGAAAATGACTCAATAGTCGGCCATCGATTCAGACAACAAATAATTCAGCAAGAAGAACAGAGCTCAAAACTACTATAGAAAGGCAAGAACCCAGGTACAAAGTGCATATTCTGTAGGGACCGTTTATATAAAGTTCCAGGAGAGACAGAACTTCTTGTGGTAAGAGAACCCAGAAGTGTTTGCCTCTGCGAGGTTGGCAGAGTCTGCACAGCGGCACGGAGCGTCTAGGGCGAGGGAAGTGGTCTATGTCACGCTAGGAGTGTGGGCCACACACATGTGTGCTCATCAAACACATCACTCCCCACTTCACGAAGTCTGTGCCTTTCGCCACACATAGAGTACATAGAAGGAAAGAGCAGGCATCTGTTTCAAAGGCTGCTTGTTTGGGGATTTGCCGGCTGGCTTTGTCCATCTTGGGCCTGGGGCAGACCCTGTCTGGGGCACTTGTGGACACATTGTCCAGTTCCCATGTCTGGTTTGGTGGCGGTTGAGTTGAAAGGAGAAGCCAGCATCGAGGATTCTGGGAGCTGTGGTGGTGAGGGTCTTGGGACCGCCAAGGGGGCTGCCTCTTCCATGTCTCCCAGGTCTTCAGCTGCCAGGTCTCTTCCTCAGTGTCTTCTGACTCTTTCCCAAGCCCTCCGAGGCCTAGTGCATGGCCGTGTCCCCTAATTCCTTCCCCTCCCGGTGCTGTCGTCTGGGGCGCTGGCTCGTGACGCCGTCAGGAGGGGTGAACTCCCCTTCCTCCGGTGACCGTGTTGTCTTGGGCTTTGCAGCGGCTTGACCATGAACTACTGCAGGAACCCGGATGCGGACAAAGGCCCCTGGTGCTACACCACCGACCCGAGCGTCAGGTGGGAGTACTGTAACCTGAAGCGGTGTGCAGACACGGGAGGGAGTGTGGAGGCGCCGGCCCCCGCCCCGGCCCCCAGCGTGCAGGCCACCTCCGCGCCAGGTAACTCAGCGCCAGACACCTGGGCATGGCGATCTTTCAGATGGAGAAGCTTCTGGGCTACACAGCCTGCTGTGCCCTCCACACAGTCTGGGAGCAGCCCGGGCTGTGATGTGGTGCCATCCCTGGGATGGTACAACTCGTCCTCTTATGGCACAAAGCGTTTTGTGACTAGGTTATTCGTGTCCTGGCCAAATTCCCTTTTGAACACTGCAAACTCACCATGATGTCCATCCAACAAGTGTTTCTGGAACCTTCTGAGACTAGTGGGGTTCTCTGTGGTTTCAGCACTTGGGGTTCTGGAGGACGTGAGGCTGGCCTGGCCCTTATTTGTGTCCTGATGTCACTGCGTGGGTGCCCTGATGTCACCTGGGTGTAAGGGCTGGGTGTAACCACCGTTTTCTTTCCTACAGACTGCATGTTTGGAAACGGCAAGGGGTATCGGGGAACGAGGGCCACCACGGTAGCCGGCACCCTGTGCCAGGCCTGGGCTGCCCAGGAGCCGCACCGACACAGCATCTTCACCCCAGAGACCAATCCGCGGGCAGGCCTGGAAAAAAATGTAAGTGCCCCAATTCCCACTCGGCCTCTCTCCACACAGTCTCTGAACAGGATTCTGGGTGCTTCAGGTTACGGACAAACAGTCCAGGCTGATCTTGGAAGTTGGGGGGTAAGAAAGGGAAGAGAAATTCAGAGAGACTTCAGAGGAACAAATCCTGGAGGGAGCGCAGCGGGCACAGCGGGCGCAGGAGGTCAGAGTTCCCCCTGCCACTGCATCGCAGGGCTTGCACTGCTTGTCTGTCTGTCTGTCTCTCAGCCCAGGCAGAAAGGTCTGTGAGACTCCTATCTCCAACTAACCACCAGAAAAGTGGAAGTGGCGCTGTGGCTCAAGTGGTAGAGCGCTAGCCTTGAGGTGAAGAGCTGAGGGACAGCGCCCAGGCCCAGAGTTCAAGCCCCATGACCGACAACAACAACAATAATAGTCTTGTGGACTTTCCTGCCAGGGCTGGCTTCACACCCAGATCCTGAGATCTCAGCTTCCTGGGTAGCTAGGATTACAGGTGTGAGCCACCGGAGGCCAGTGCATTCCTCTCTTGTAACAGTTTGTGTGTGTTTCTTTTCTTGGGTGGTTTTCTAGTTTCTACTGTTTATCCTTTAGGTTCTAGTGACCAAAGATGAGTTTTATAGCATTTTAGCCTGATATTTCTAGGGGGGAAAACCCCTGGCAAACCATGAAGTGTCCCTGCCACAAGATTTCCCCAGTCCCCCAGCTTCTCGGGGAAGGGTCACGCTCGGGGGGTGTGGAGGGAAGTCTGAGATGGAGGAGAAGCCAGGGCACTTTCCCATGCGACCTCCACACACAAGGCACCACTTCTGACAGCAGCTCTGTGTGTGTGTGTGTGTGTGCGCGCACGCATGTGTGTGTGCGTGCGTGTATGTGTGCATGGGTGTGCGTGTGTGTATGTGCGTGTGCATGTGTGTGCATGTGTGCATGTGTGTGTGTGTGTGTGTGTATGAATGGTGTGTGTGTGTATGAATGGTGTGTGTGTGTATGTGTATTGGGGGAGAGTCCCCTCACATTCTGAGCCTTCTCCATGTGCGTGTGTGTACGTGTGTGTGTATGTGTGGTGTGTGTGTGTGTGTGTCGGGGGAGGGTCCCCTCACATTTTGAGCCCTTCTCCATGTGTGTGTGTACGTGTGTATGTGTGTGTGTGTGTGCATGCGTGCGTGTGTGTGTGTTGGGGGAGGGTCCCCTCACATTCTGAGCCCTTCTCTGTGTGTGTGTGTGTGTGTGCGTGCATGCGTGCGTGTGTGTGTGTCGGGGGAGGGTCCCCTCACATTCTGAGCCCTTCTCCATGTGTGTGTGTGTACGTGTGTATGTGTGTGTGCGTGTGCATGTGTGTGTGCATGTGTGTGTGTGTGTTGGGGGAGGGTCCCCTCACATTCTGAGCCCTTCTCCGTGTGTGTGTGTGCGTGCATGCGTGTGTGTGCGTGCATGCGTGTGTCGGGGGAGGGTCCCCTCACATTCTGAGCCCTTCTCCATGTGTGTGTGTGTACGTGTGTATGTGTGTGTGTGTGTGCGTGCATGCGTGCGTGTGTGTGTGTGTTGGGGGAGGGTCCCCTCACATTCTGAGCCCTTCTCCATGTGCGTGTGTGTATGTGTGTATGTGTGTGTGTGCGTGCGTGTGTGCATGCGTGCGTGTGTGTGTGTTTTGGGGGAGGGTCCCCTCACATTCTGAGCCCTTCTCCATGTGCGTGTGTGTATGTGTGTATGTGTGTGTGTGCGTGCATGCGTGTGTGCGTGTGTTGGGGGAGGGTCCCCTCACATTCTGAGCCCTTCTCTGTGTGTGTGTGTACGTGTGTATGTGTGTGTGTGTGCGTGCGTGTGTGTGTGTGTTGGGGGAGGGTCCCCTCACATTCTGAGCCCTTCTCCAGCTGGTGTTCCAGTTTCACTCGTCCAGCACTGTGACCATGGCGACAGGGTCAGATCCCACAGCTTAGGGCTCTGTGTCACAAGACTGTCCCCCCCCCACCTGCCCTGTGCCAACCACAAGTGCTAGGTTTTGGCCTACAGTGCTAATGGCTCCTCAGGTTTGATCACTCTTCTAGAGCATTCCACAGATCTCAGAGACACTTCCCTTATGTTCACAAGCTGATTATTATCCGCAGGATGTGTGTCCCCGAGGACGAGACAGAGGGAGGGCGCCCCACCCCCTCCTCCCCAGTGTGCCCCTCCCTCCACGTGTCCACCTCCCCGGGACCTTCTGAGCCCAGTCCCTTCAGTCTCTGGGGGAGGCGACATTACATCAGCACGGTTTAGCACAACATTGACTTTTGGTGATCACCTCCATCTTGGGCCCACATCCCGGTCCCCCCCAGCCCCCCCCCAGGTCAGAGTGGGGCCGAGGGCTCTCATCTCAGAGTGGAGGTTATTGAGGAGACTCCAAGAGACACCTCCAGGCAACAAAGATGCTCGTGCTGCGCAGGGCATGTCAGGGGCTGTATGGAAACCCTAGGCCTCGTGGCATCATTGAGGAAATTGAAAGGGCTGTCAGTGCCAATACCTAAGAAGAAGGAAAGAAGGCAAATGACAGAGAAGTAGGTGTGTGCAGAACAGAAACCTTGTCCCTACTCTGCCCTGGGGCCATATCCCAAAGCCTTCTTTTTTTTCTTTTCCAGTACTGCCGTAATCCTGATGGCGATGTCAATGGTCCTTGGTGCTACACCACGAACCCGCGGAAACTTTTTGACTACTGTGACATCCCTCAGTGTGGTACGCTGCTTTCTTGCTCATGAGGAAGTCACTTTGCAAAGAAATGTGGAAATGATCTCCTTAATAAAGATTTGGAGAGAGAAGGGGGAAAGCAGAGAGAAGAGAGAGAAGAAAGGAGAAAGAGGAGAAAGGAGAGAGGGGACAAAGAAGAGGAGAGGAGAAGGGGGGAGAGAGAGACACAGAGAGAAATGGGGGGGCAGCAACCACCACAAACCCTGGATCCTAAAGGTCCTTGGGCTCTGTGCTTGCAGGGGGAGGCGGCCGCCCCTTCTCCCACCTCTCTTCCATCATGGACACCTTGAACCTGTCCCACAACTGATTTTACCTCGAACAACTTTCTCAGACCCACTTTCTGTAATACACAAACACAAAGAAAAAATATCCTTATTATCTTTCCATGAGATGGAAACTTGCCATGCTTTAGATTATGATGAGGAGGAAGAGGAGGAGGAGAAGGAAGGGGAAGGGGAAGAGGATGTTATAGTATGGTGAGCCTATTATATCAAGTTGGGATACTAATTACAAATAGCCGCTATATCCATGGAGAGTCTCTCAGAAAAGATGTTATACCAAACCATACCAGTGTACTTTGTCACTCCCAACACAGTAAAAGACACTTTTATGTTCTCTCCAAGAGAGAGGGTTCTGGAACTTTGGAAACATAGAGAAAATGTTTCAAAACTACTTATGGTTCTGGGCTTTGCATGCCTTTGCTCCCTGTCCTGGCCGTGCAGCTGGGGACTTACTGGGCTGAGAGGATGGAATTGATTATCTCTGACTCAAATGTGACTTTCTTCTCCCTCACTGCGACCAGTGTCAACTTCCTTTGATTGTGGGAAGCCTCAAGTGGAGCCGAAGAAATGTCCTGGGCGGGTGGTAGGTGGGTGCGTAGCCCACCCCCACTCCTGGCCTTGGCAAGTCAGTCTCAGAACAAGGTAAGAGCAAGGCCAGAGAGGCTATTTTCCACATGAGCTCTGTAAAACCTTCACCAGTCCACACAGCAGGTGGAGCCGTGTCTGGCTCTATGTACTTCTAAGGAATAATAAAGCTATGTGTAGGAACACACACACAGAGACACACACACACACACACAGACACACACACAGACACACACACAGACACACACACACATAGACACACAGACACAGACACACATACACACACACACACACACACACACACACACACACACACACACACACACACACAGAGGTTCTTTGATTTGAAAATGGCCAAACACCCTCTGGGCCGCTATCCTCAAAATGCAGTGATTGACATTCGGTTCGGAGACTGCTGGGAGAAGAGCAAAGATGCTTGGCAGGTTCATTGCAAAAGAAGAAGAAAGTGTCACACTTCTGAATGTGACACTTAAGGGTGGAGAGGCCACAGCAAGGGTGCGGCTGGCTCCAGTGTATCAGAGACACAGACTGTTAGAAAAGAAATACCTTTGCGCTTTCGTGAGTCAACGGCTTAGTGCAGAGGCCGCTCACTCCCCTGCAAACACCTGAACAAATGATGTTTTATGCTCGCTGGCATTTAAGAGTTATCCATCTGGTCTCAGGGAATCTGGACTGTTTGGGCTCTCTTGACGGTGCAACATGCCCGTAGTGGGTTCAGTTCCCCCTAGACACACCTTACAAAGCCCACAGATGCAACAGGCTCATGACCGGGTTGTTTGCTGGCTCACCTCAACTCCATGGCAGGCTAGTAATAGGGTCATTTGTGGTAGCCTGAGCCCTGACTTCCAGGAAGCCAACCAGAGACTCCTACTGCACTCTGCTGCCGACTTGGTTTCTTTTGACTTTATTGTAAAGGAGTGACTTGCTCTACAGAGCTCTACCTTCCACACAGTTCAAATCCATGCTGCCCAGAACTGCAGTGGCCTAGCTCCTGATTCCTGGCCTCTCCTCTCCTTTGCAAGCTTTAGATGATGATGATGATGATGATAATAATAATGATGATAGTGTGGTGAGCAGTTATATCAAGTTGGAAAAATAATGACAAATAACTTCCTCTCTTCTCTTCCCCT